CAATCATACAAAGTTCTTAGTTTACTTTAGGGTTCGTTCTGGGTGTTGTACACACTACAGGTTTGAATAAAGGTATAATGACATGTATCCATTATTAAGCTATCATACAGGAGCTATTGTTACTCCCTTAAAAATATTCAATGCTGCCTTTTCCTTCCCACACCCACCCCTGGCAACCACTGATCTTTTCTACACTTTTACCTTTTCCAGCATGTCATATAGCTGGAATCATATAGTATGTGATTGCCTTTTGTCATTTAGTAAATGTATTTACGTTTGCTACATGTCTTTTCATAGTTTGATGGCTCATTTCTTTTTAGTGCTGAATCATATTTCATTGTCTGAATGTACCACAGTTTATCTATCTATTCACTTACTTACCCAAGGACATCTTGGTTTTGTCCAAGTTTTGGGACTATAAATAAAGTTGTTATAAATATTTTTGTGCAGATTTTTATGTGGGCATAACTTTTCAACGCTTTTGGGTAAATACCAAGAAATGAAATTACTGGAATGTATGGTAAGAGTATGTTTAATTTTGTGAGAGTGTGTCAAACTATCTTTCAATGTCTGCACCATTTTTCACCGCCAGCGATAGATAAGAGTCCTTATTGTTCCATATTCTTGCAGCATTTGGTGTTATCAGTGCTCTAAATTTTGTCCATTCTACTGGGTGTATAGTGACATTTCATTGTTTTAATTTGCATTTACTTGATGACATAAGACGTGGAGCAACTTTTTGGGAACCAGCTTTTGATTTCATGATTTTTTCCCTCATTTTCTGTTTTATTATTTCATTGACTTTTACTCCAATTTTATTATTTCCTTTCTTCTTTGAATTTTATTTGTTGTTCTTTTTCTAAGTGCTTAATGTGGAAGTTGAGTTTATTGATTCAAATCATCCTTTTCTAATTCAGGCATTTAATGCTAAAAATTTTCCCTAAAGCACTGCTTTAGCAATATCTTACAAATTTTAATGATGATTTCTTACTTCACTATTTTTAAACTTTTAAATTCTTTAGTTATTTTAAAGTACAATAATATATTGAATTTGTCTAACACTTTATACTTTATAGGGCTAAAAAAAGTATTTTACCTCATTTTTTTCTCAGAATAAGTTAAAGTAAGCCCTTACTGTATCCCAGTTGAACAGCAAATATTCAGCAAATATTTAGTGAATGTCATACTTTGTTCCAGGTACAGAGGTTATGGTGGCAACAGAACAATGTTCTCTCTTTCAAGAAGTTTATTTTATTTTCAGTGGAATAAGAATTTAAAAAATGAGATAGGGAGACACAATAAAGCTAAGTAGCTCACTAAAGATTACACAGCTCTACATGCTAAACTCTAATCTCTCAACCACATTTCCAAGGTCTCTTTCTAATACTGTAAACTTCAGAATTTATTTTATTATATATAAAAATATAAGCATATTAATAAAACATATGCTTATTTTTAAAGCAGAGTCATATAAAGAACCCTTAATAAAACTATAGACTATCGTTTGTTCATGTTGATGCCAAAATAAGTCTCTCATTATAGATTCAATGAGAAGAGATAAAATGTTGTGGGAAAATCCCAAACCAGTCCAACAAAACATCAAGCAGTTTTTCAGAGAGAAAGAAGAACTCAGGTTTATAACACGCAGTCCCAGAGGAGCTAGTGCTCTGAAGATCTGGGCAGTGGGCTCAGGTATAACATTGCTTATATACCAGAATTTTTACACAAGCTAATTGGTCATTTTGAATTCAAACCATTACAAACAGCAGTAACATTGGTAAGGCCAGGGAATTGTCACGAGTTGGCGACATAAAAAATTGTTACAGAAAGCAGGGGTACAAACAATACAAACAGTTACCTTCGTTGAGCAAAAGGTAAGTAGGACAAGGTGCAAAAGAGCTCTGCAATGAACTCTTGCATGCAGCAAGCACATTTACAGAAGCAGAACAAAAAAGCTGATTAGCTTTTAATGAAAATCCTGAAATTTCCTCTTCAGTATTATAATGCTAATGCTATCTGATTGGGAGGAGGAGAACTATCCTATCAACACACATTGATTTTGAGAAAATAGCTTTATTTTCTGGTTTTCAGTTTCCATATTTTTTAAAAATGGTCAAATGATCTTTCACATTTCTAATTTTTATATACTAAGAATTTAGATTTTAAATATTTATTGAGCATTCACTACAGTGCTCTATTAGGGATTCAAAATAAGGTAGGATACAATACTTGTCCTAAAATTATCTAACTTAAGAGGCAAGAAACATACGTGCAAAATATTTTTAAATGCCAATATGAATGATAGAGAAAATAATGATCTGGCACAACTGGGGATAATTTTGCCCCCTTATCATACATTTACAATATCTGGAAACATTTTTGCTTGTCAGTATTGGGGGGTGACTTTTTTGAGTCACCAATAGAGTAGAGGCCAAGAATACTACTAAACATCTTGCAGTGCACAGGACAGCCTCCCACACAAAAATTACCGGGACCAAAATATCAGTTGTGTTGAGTTTGAGAAACTGCTCTAGAAATTCAAAGGGAGAAAAAAATCATTGTGAGAAGAAAAAATTAGGAAAGTTTCTTCAAGGAGCTGTGTTTTTCCATAAACTTCTAACACAGTTACATCTGGAGAAACAGCACAGGTGTGAAAACCAGTGCAGATGGAGTGGAGGGCTCACATATCAGTTAGAGGGTTAGATCGATGCCATATTGTATAGAATCTCAAATGCCAGGATGAAGACTTCTTACTTTATTTATTAGACAATGGGGAGTCAGTCAATGAGCATACTTTAGAGTAAGCATTGTTTCAGTTAGATTAGATGACTCTGGCAGTGGTCTGAGGATCTATTGTAGTGGAGAGACTGGAAGACAATCAGGAGGTTACTACAATCCAAGCTTGAGGTATTGAGTATTAATTCAAGCAGAACTTGACTTAACCATGATGCTTGTACCAATATACTTTTCTAAATACAATTACAGATTAGGGTAAAGCCATTCAGTAACAGTAACACTGAGTCATGTTTTCATACAAGTGCATAAACAATGAGTTCTAGTTTACAAGTGATGTGGGTTTTTTACACCATGCAATTTTGCTCATGTGTTTATATCAAGTGTGTTTGATATATTTTAAAAGTTGTAATTTTATTTTACTAACTGAAGCAGTGAGAAACTCTCATTTGAGAACATTAACTTTTATCATTTTGATATTGTGTCCTTTCTGTTCCTGCTCCCTGTCTCCCCTCTAGAGTAATGTTCCTTAAACACTGGGTTCCGTGAATCACAGTGCACAAATACATTGCTTTGCAAGTTTGCCACCACGTTTGTTTCCACTTGCCTAGGCAAAAACAAACAACCACCAAAAAGTTCACCCCTCAGGCTCTCAGTAGAAGGTGGGCTAAAATATTAGGACATTTTTCAATGTTTTTAAGTTTCATCATTGCCTTTGTATCACTAAGTTCAGTGTAAGCAGTAATTTTTCTTTGTCTCTTGTTTGGAAAACTAATCCTAGTTACATCAGTTTAATTGATGCACTTAAACTTATATTTGGCCAAGAGTACTGTCCCTTTGAAGTTCGGAAGAAGCAGTCTTGTGACCATCACGGCAAAAGTCTGTTGTTCTACCCAGTTGATTTCTGGTTTTGTCGATCATTAACTTTTAGAAAAAATAGAATTTTTTAAAATGAAAAGAATAAGTAAATGTTCTTTTTTTTCTACTAGAAAAGATCTTCTAGGAAACTTTAATTTTAATCAGCTGTGTTCAAACATTGGCTGTTTTGGTGATATTCTTGACTTTTAGGTATAAGTTCAAATCAGAAAGAATAAAATTGATAACTGACTTTGTATTTTGAATTAAAATTTTCTTTCATGGTGAATATGCCTTTTGAAAAATTAGGTAACATACAAATTAGCATTTCTATGAAGAAAAGTATTCAAACGATTTATATAACTAAACAGGATGTACTTGATCTATAAACTAGTTCAGGTAAAACTGCCACCCAGTGATCATTCTACTGATAAAAACAAATCCAAGTTAGTAGATTATTCTATTCATGAAAACACAGTCTTACTCTGTGATAGGCATTGTACCAAAGAGTGAGGAGACAACTTTTCACCAACATCCTGAGAAAGGATAATGGAGGAGACGCAAGTGTCAATGCATATGTGCATTAAAACATCACCATTAGAGCTAGCTCATTTAATGATGTGACTCAATATAGTCTCTTACTTGATTTCAGTGTGCATAGAATGCTCTAAAGTACTTCATAAAAGAGGTAAACTGAATGAGTCAATAATTTCCTTTGCAACAGGAAGTACTAGAGGTGATAATGCACTTAGAATGCACTTGTCCACGATCACTTGGAACAAAAGCATTAAAGTTGTCTGGGAGTTGACTACCTTTCACTGATGCAAAGATTTCCTTAGATTATTTCTGCAGGTCACTAGAAGCCCTGGAGCTTCTCACGGGTATGATGATATCATCACTTTTCATCATACAAAATCATTTTTTTACGGCGACTTCTTAGTAAAGATTACTTACCTTCCATCCAACAATGTCTCTCATGTCAGAAGCTTGCTTCCTAGGGATGCCAAATGACTCATATGACTCAAATGATTGTTTTACTGTACACTATTCTGGCACCATAAGCCTAGGCTTGAAGGGATGCCACCTTATTTTAAAGGTTCTGTTGCAGACTTCTAATAAACTACCTCAAAACTTCTAAAATGGAGGACAGTTTTAAACAAAAATAATGGCTTTTAAAGTCATCTAAGGCATCTGTTTTGAACTATGGTCCACTATGCAGGACCTATTTTAGGAAGCACAGTTGTAACTAGACCACGGTGGAGCATTTTCAAGATGGCTTGATCATCCCTGAGCTGGAATACACTGCTGGAATGAAGGTACTTCCACTTGTGAATCCCTGTGGAATGACTGCCTCTCTGAGACACAAAGAGTCTCAAAACTTCCACGTTTGGAAAAAAACAGTTACTATTAGAAAAGGAATTCGTTCTGCTGTTCCTACATCACATAGGAATGTGATCATTAGTCATGGGAGTATGTGGCTTATTTGTTTAAGAAATTTTGTTAACAGGACTTTAGGTTATATGAAAATAGGTCTTAGAACTTAGTCTGGAGTGGAGAATAAAATAAATGTGAAAATAAATTATACTACATGATTAAGAAGGAGGAAGTTGGGGGTTCTAATATGGCACGTGGAAGGGGTAAAAGAGTTGAAGGAGCCTAAGGAAGGTAGTAGAGAGTAGACAGATATTAGGATAGAAAGCGACAGTGGGATACAGCAAATTTTACTAAATAAAGACCAAGAAAAACAGGTAACTACTGAGAATATTCTTGTGGTGGTAACTACGGAACTTTTAAAGAAAAATGTCTAAATATTCATTTTAAAGTTATTTCTAATTTTGTTCCCTTGAGTTAATGGTGCTCTTGAAAATGCAGGAGGAGGAGCTCTGTCTTCACTTGAGTATACGGAGAAGAGGTAGCTGCAGTGCACAAGACAGCGTAATGGGAGATTGAGACTTAAATACAAAGTTAGAGTTAGAGTCAACAATCTAAGGAATGTTATGGAAAGGCTGCATTTCCCACTATGGTGTGCTTGTGGGGCTCTTTTTTTCTTTTAATTTTATTTTTTATTATCAAAAAATACTTTTTTTTTTTAGAGCAGTTTATGTTTATAGCAAAGTTGAGAAGAAGGTACAGAGATTTCTCATATACTCTCTGCTCCCATACGTGCAGAGCCTCCCCCATTATCAACATCACTCACCAGAGTGGTATATTTTTTTGGCAAAGATAAACCTATGTTGACACATCACAATCACTTAAAATCCATAGTTTACATTACAGTTCACTTTCAGTGTTGTAGAGTCTATGGGTTTGGACAAAGGTATGATGACATATATTCATCATTATAGTAACCCTTCAGAATGTTTTCACTGCCCTAAAAATCCTCTGTGCTCTGCCTATTTATCTCTCCCCTCATACCACCCAACTCTTGTTATTTTTTACAGATATTAAAGGGAAGAAAGACTCTTGAAGACTGGAAGATTTGGGGGAAATTGCTTATATTAGGAACGTACCCAAGAAGAGAGAGGGGAAGGTAAAAGGTGAGGAAGCAAACCCCAAATTCACAGCATTTTGGTCTTTTTTCTTACCTCTTCAAATTCTTGTGGGTTACTTTACCTTTTGTAAAGGTTAAATCAGGTTAAAATGAAGCCAGGCACAGCCTCGAGAAAAGAAAATGTAAAAATGCAGGACACATTTACATTCTGAGGACAAAGTGATACTAGTTAGAAACAACATGGATCTATGCACTTGATTTCTATCAAAGGTGTTTAACAATTCAGCACCATCTGGCAAAGCCACATCTCCTTCAAGGCCTGGGGCCTTTTTCAATCTTCTAGTTTTAATGCTCTCTAGAGACATCCATGAGTGGAATATATCCTGACAAAAATGATGCACTTGAAATTTTTCTGAAGATAGAGAGAAAGGCTAAAAGATACAATCACACACAGGAGATCATCAGCCAGTGGTCCAGACAAGTGGACATTCTTACAGCAGTAAAAATATAGAAGATAATCTGGACCAATGTCCTGAGCACTCCCAAAAGGAGTTTGAACACTAGGGTGGGATTTGGGAGGACAATTTTAAATATGCATTATCCATTTAAGTAACTTTATTAAGGTGTCTGTTAATGAGGCTCACTGTTCAAGAAGATGACTGACAATATGACCATCATCCTTTAGAACATAAAGGTTATTCTGGAAGGAAAACAAACATGAAGTTATAGTATAACCTGGATAATTTAACTTCCTGGGCTTTAGTTTCCTCATCTGTGAAATAAAGAGATTTGAATAAAAGATTTTTTTAATGCTTCAAGTTCAAAGATTTTTTGATTTGATAATGTTAATCACTGAATTTTCACACTGAGTACTAATCAAATTTAAGACCCTCTGACAGATTCCAGTGATATAGGAGTTTAAGTGTGATCTTTGTATTTGAATATCATAAAAGTAATTGGAAAAACAGGGTATAAGAGTAAATTAATATAAATCCCATTCTACAAATTCAGTGTCACAAAAAATAAGGCAAATTTTTGTTTCTTAAAAAACTAATTTAATTTAGTATGAAAAATTTGATCTCAGTTCCTTTGAGGGATTTCCTATCCTACAGAGCTGTGCCATACACAGTTCTGAGAACTTGAACATGCTAAGCTGGCATCGACACTGATATGCAGTTCATATGTCAAAGTTAAGAAATCCAGGGTCCTACTCTGCATGGTCTTCTCAGATCCCATGACGTTCTGTTGCTTCCACTTACCTACATGCAACACTGTCGGGTTCGAGAAGTTTTGCAGGGTGACTTTAGAGACCTGTGTACTCTGAAAAGTTGTGGCCGTTGCCTTGATCTCCTCGCCAGGATATATTTTCAGTCTGGGGTGAATAATTTCCCTATCATACTTCTTCAAAGCCACTCTGTTGATGTTTGTGAACTCTCTAAGTTCTCCACTGGGTTTTGGCTTTTGAAATTTCAAAGTAAGAAAGACTTTCAAGATACTCCTTGGCCTGCCTTCCCCGAAGCAATGAATTACAGAGGCTGCTATCTTCTTTAAAAAGAAAGAAGAGAAGGGGGCAAAATATATCAAGAAAAAAAGTTAATATTTTAAGTAAGTTGATTTGATTAATAAAAAAAAAAACAGAATGCATAAGAGAATGACCTTTTTTTACTAGATGTGCATTTTTTTATAAGCACATTTTAACACCGCCTAATTGTAATATATAGATTTTTGCAATGACTCTGAGGGAGGCTACCTGAAGGATCTGTGAAACAAGGAAGAATTGTCAGCTTCTTCTTAAAAAGGTTGGAGATGCCAATCTTTTCTGCTTTTTCAAATTAACCGAAAATTAAGAGTACTCTTTCCAGAGAGGAACTTAATAAGAGTGCCAGATGAGGGTAGGTGGCCTAAGAAATCTGTGGCTGTTGGTGTTGGGTGAAGAACAAGGAGTGCAAGGGAAGAAGTTGGCAGAGAATTACATAAGGAAAGAGGTTTCTGGGAGGTGATGCTTCTCTATGAGGTCTCTAGACTCTAAAATATGTATATGAACATGAATGCCTGGAGAGAGCTTGAAATGTTTTTTTATGTAAGTGTTTGGTTTCCCTGAGAATCTGCTTAGTGAACATGTTCAAATTTTGGGAGGAAGTTTGGGGGGGAGTTGCCAAAGTCACGGTGACTTGCCAAAGGGTAAAAGAGTTTTTCTCAAGGCACAGAAAGTCAGAACTTGGGTATTTATGCTGGGGTAGCTGTCCAGATGCAAGTCAGGGCAGTCTGAAATCCGAGGAAACATCGAGGTGGCCCACAGAGATTACCAGCACAAAGATTCCAGAGTGAATATTCTTCAAATTAGGCTTATGGCATCTGGGGTATACAGAGTAGTGAAAGCAAGAACCAAGGGCCTGTAATACCCTGAAATTAAATCAGCCAAATCTATCTGTGGTTAGACCAAATTTGTGTGGTAGTTAAAAAATGTGCACTGTAAAAAAGACTGTTTCTATGATTTTGTTACTATTTGTCGTTGTTGTTACAATTTTGTTTTTCGTTTTGTATTTTGGAGAGCCCCTTTTGAAAATTCCAGTTAACTTCAGTTGAGCTATGGGATAAGGAATTTTTCTCTCTCCCCCACTTCACGCACACACACACACATCTATACTTGGGGAACAAAAAGGTCAATGTGAGGGTTACATTTGTCCAGCAGACCAGTGGTAGGAAGAAGCGGTAGAGCTAAGAGCACACTTGAGGTGTTTCTGAACTAAAGACAGGGTATGCTAAATGCTGAACATGTAGTTCTTAAATTGAACACAGTAGAATGTCCTAGGAGGGAGAAATTGCTGTGATTGGGTTTGCTGGGAAAGATTTCATGAAATAGTCTTCATTTGAACTAGACTTTGAATTATGGATAAGGACTTGGAGAAATGTACGTAGGTAGGAGCACGCCTTAGCTTTACATATTAGTTTCAATACTAAATTCACTGAACACAGTGTGCTCCAGGAGCAGCCTTCAAAGGGCATGTTTTTCACATTGTGGATTCTCAGGCTTGGCTGTGTGTGAATGAGGAAGGTGGGCAAGTTTCAGTTACCACTGTAAAGTAAGTGGATTAAATGAAGATACATGGAATGTTCTACAGAAATTCATTTTTAGGAAACCTGGATGAGTCAAGGTTTTAATATTTTATATGAGTTATGAGATGAAAGATAAGTATTAACGAGAAAATTACTGTGCTTTTGCCTATGGTTAAGAGAATGCTGACCTTGCCTTTCATAGCTTTATGTACAGTGGGCAAGGTTAAGAAAATCATTTGATTAATTATTCTTATGTATATTTATGCACAATTTCAAAGGGGCAATTGAACATTGAACTGAATGATAGATATATAACTAAAAGATGACTTGTTTAGAGAGAGAAGCTTTCACTTCAGAAGGACTAGCTTCTAGATTTTGTTATGTCTCTAACTAGTACCGTGACTTCTGGCAAGATACATAATCTCTTTTTGTGTTTCCTCATTTTTAGAGCGAGATGATGTCAGGTGTCCCAGATCTCTCTTTGAGTAGGAGTTACTTTGCTTCCCCCTCCCT